ACATTCAGAACCCGACATAGGAAACTGTCAAATCCGAACAAGAGGAGAAAACAAATTCTTTTTTCAAAATAATTGTTTTCCGTCTTAAGGGGGGAGGTGTTATGATCCCGTACTAAATATTCACATTTTCAACTTTTTATAAACAAAAGACTGGCGACGAACTCAAATTGTTCTTCTTTAGAAGCGAAGCTTCTAAAGACTCCTTCTTTTATTTTATTTGCAAGTGTTTGCTCGAACATTCGAAACAGTTGACTGACGAAAGACCAAAGTAATATAGGCAAGCTACACAGCTTGGCGTCGGTTCATTTGATTTTTAGTCTAGCTGTAATAAGTTCTTGTTTATTAATATTAGTTTAGTGATAGTTTTAAGTGCTTGTTCATTACTTACAAAAATAAAGAACGAACCGAATATAACAATATATATATTTTATTTTAATAATTTGTATTTGTTTTTTTTTCTTAAAATGATAAAAAAATTAAATTTTTTTTTAAAACGCCAAATCATATGAATAATTAATTATTTGTCATTAGCCTCAGTTTAAACTTTTTGTTTTTGTGCCCAAATATTATAATAATAATAATAATAATTAACGAGTAAAAAAATTTTTTAAAAAAAATTTAAATAATTTCACGTGTGCACGTGCACACACAAGGTATATAAATAAATATAATAATTTAATAAAATACTATAAATACGATACTAACTAACGGAAAAAAAAAAAAAACATATACAAATATGAAAAAAATTATACACAATTTTTTTTCTTTTATTTAAATACATATATATATATAATTATTATTAAAAATTAAACCGATTGTTACCAACATTAACAAACAACGATTATATTATTTTTAATTTTACAAAAAAAAAAGAAGAAAAAAAGAAGAAAAAATTTTTTTGTAAAACTAAATGAAATTCTTTACATCATAAAAAAATCATTATTATTATTTTTAAAAACGTATATATAAAATTTGGCAACAACATTAATTAACATTTTAATTTAAAATTTTTCTTTGTTCATTAAAAAAAAAAAAAAAAAAAATTTAATGATTGTATATTATCAGAATTTTCATTTCATTATAAAAATAAAATAATATAAATAATTTATATAATCATACAAAATAATTAAAATAAAATTCACACGCGATTAATTAATTAAATAAATTTTGGCCATATTTATATGTAGAAAATTTCAGCGATTTAAAAAATAATAATAATAATAATAAAATAAAAATTTATTAATTTTTGTCATGTGTAAGTAAAAATAAACGTTACACTTGTGTACAATGATAATCACGTGATTAAAAAAAAATAATTAAAATATATATATAATAAATAAAATAATACAATAAAATAATCATAATAAACATATTTGTAAAAAGCTATTAAATAAATAATTATTATTATTATTTTTTTTTTTATTCATCGTCTGCTATACAACGTTTGATTAAACTTTTTTTTTAATACGAATTCACACACAACAACTTTAATAAAATAAAATAAAAAGTTTATGTAAAAAAAAATTTAACAAATCTAGCTACTACACGGTTAATAATTTTTATTCACACTCACGCACACAAACGCACAAACGCACACATAGGCTTATTTATACATAAATGTGTTTGTTTGTGGGTGTGTGGGTGGGTGTATGTGCATATAAACACGGACAATAATTTATTTTACAAAAAAAAAAAAAAAATTTGTTTTCATTTTCTACAATACATAAATGTCTTGGAGGGTTCTCCCTCAGTCTTCGTGTAATCTGTTAATTATTAATTTATTGGAAATATAAAAAAAAAATATTTTTCCCCTTTTTTTCCCTTTTTTTTTCAAATCATTTTTCGTAAATACTGAAATTTTCTAATAGTTCATGTACACATAAATACAAATACATAAATATTGGACTATTTTTTTTATACATTTTTATTTATTTATTACTGTCTTTCGGAAAGAGTTTTTATTATTATTATTCAACTATTGACGACAACACACGTTTACAACAATTAAATTAAAAAAATATTTTTTGCAAATTTCACATTACTTTATTACTCTATTATTATTATTTTTATTATATTGTAAATTATTTATTTTTTGACAGATTTGAAAAACGAAAAAAGAAAAATAATTTGTGATTTGTGGATAACGAAGTGACATTTTTGTTTTCCCTCTTTCCGTCTTTGCTGTGTCTTTTTACGTAAGTAGGCCATTTTTTTTTCTTTCTTTCTTTCTTTCTTTCTTTAGGCTGCTGCATGCGACAAAAACCATTAGAAAATCAGATAGATGCATTATTATTTATTCATTTTGACCGCATTCAAAAATCCATTTGTTTTCATGCTTTTTATTTTATTTTTAATTTTTTTTGTTTGTTTGTTTGTTTATTTTCTTGTTTGTTTGGAAAAAGTTTTTATGTTTAAAAAAAAAAATGAAAGTTTTGTATTTTGGAAAACATCGTTCCGTACCGGATGATTATAGTTAGGGATTGGAAAATGAAGACCGATTATTTGACTGTTTTAAATTTTCTCGTGATGATGTAGTAGTGCGCGTTTTTTTTTTCATTCGTTCAACCTCCGAGTTCTTTGATGATATTGGCAGATATCACGAGTCTTTGTATTTCTGATGTTCCTTCGTAGATTTCTGTTATTCTTGCATCTCTGTAATGACGCTCTGCAGGCATGTCGGTCACGTAACCCATTCCACCTAATATCTAAAAAAAAAAAAAATCATTGTTTCGCTAAAAAAAAACCTTTTTTTTTTCATTTTTGTCCTAAAGTTTTCATTTCATTTCATGCACAAAATTTAATTTCAAACCTGTATACATTGGTGTGCGCAAAAAGTTGCAGTTTCCGAAGCAGCTAATTTGGCCATGGCTGCCTCTTTTGTAAAAGGCATCTTATTATCTTTTAAATAAGCAGCTCTCCAAGTTAGCAGTCTAGCGCTTTCAATTTGTAAAGCCATATCTGCTATTTTTTGCTGAAATCAGAAATATAGAAAAAGAACAAAAAAAATTAATTATCTCGACCCTGTACAAATTGGCCGTTAACTTTTTTTTTTTTTTAATCTTTTGAAACATTCCAGAATTGTATGCTAGGCAGTTTAAAATTCCCATCGTTTTTTTTTTTTTTTAACGAAAAATAAAACTTACCACACAAAATTATGCAACAGTCGGAACAGATGAGGACTAAATAAAAATAAAAAAACAATCTAAATCCAAAGGGTAACGGTAAAATTTCATTTTTTCAAAACTCTTTCCCTGCTAAAAAGCCTCAAATTTGTCTTTGGGCTCGTCGGGTTTTTGATCTTGTTTTCTGGCTCGGGAAGCCATGTCGGGGAGCAATATGGGGTTTTCCATGAGAGCCGTGAGGTCGCTCAATTCTAAATTCCGACGCGGATCCCCGTTTGTTTGAACGCTGTCCATTTTGTTCATGAGCCCTCCCATGTTTTGCATTGAAATTGAATTTTGAGGCAAAAGACCGTTTTTGGTCATTTGAACTATGTGATCCGTAACGGCTCTCTGGAGGGATTCCATAGAATTCGATCGTGCTAAAGCGTGATTCCGATGAATCCCTTTAAACGATCGGCCTCTTCTAACCGAAGACCAAGCTTTTCCAAACAAGGAATGATTTCTTCTATGCATCGGTTCAGGATTGTCTTCCAAAAGCTCATCCAAATTTCCCGAAATGGCTCGCTTTAATTCCGGATCGGCTTCTAGTAGTTGACGCAAACCAGCGGTCAACGTGACAGTGTTACAATGATCTTTTTCACCGTCTCGAAGCTGATCTTTTCTCTTTTTAAATCTTCTAAAGTAGTCTTGTATTAAAACGGTTGCGTAAAATTTTCCAACGGTAACGTCATCTATTTCACCTGGAGGGGGAACTACTTGGTCCAAAAGTTTTGTGCTTGTTTTTTTCCAAACTTTTCTTATGATGGATCTCAATTCGGCATTACACTCGTCAATGACACCTTCCGTCTTTATTTTTAACGATGTCCTCACGACCGCAAACAACGTAGCATTAAATAATACGGTTCCGTCACTGTTTAAGGGCATGTTCATGCTCACGAGCCGCTTACACGCCACTCGGTGCGGACACAGTTTGCCGAAACCTAAAGGCGGAGAGATTTTTCGAAGGAGTGTTACTACGTCTAGATGTTTGATCCGTCCCTTCGCATCCGGATCGTATTCGCTCCAAAGTCTAATAAATTCATCTAAGTGATGAGGTCCTAATATCGACCAATCTCGCGTTAAGTAGTCGAAATTATCCATAATGACGGCCACGAAAAGATTTAAAATTAAAAAGGAACATATTACATAGAAAGATATAAAATAAGGAAAGGCTATACTGGATCCACAGGAGTCCGAATGAGCATCATCTGAATTTTTATCACATTTAGCATCTACAGTGTCTAACATTATTTCTTGCCATGCTTCTCCGGTGGCCGATCGAAACAGTACTAATAAACTTTGTGGAAAACTTTGAAAATTATTATTTCTGTTTATATTCGTTTCCGGGTCTAAAGCTATTTTCCCGAAAACTTGCATTCCGATTACCGCGTATATAAAAAACAACATGACGATGAGAAGAGCTACGTACGGCAGGGCTTGAAACGATTTCATGAACGTCCACAACAGGGTGCGTATACCTTCTCCTTTGCTGAGTAATTTTATCAAACGCATAACTCGGAAAAGTCGGAAAAATGTAATCGATATCATTCCGTCACCGCCGTGAACAACTTTATCCATTATGATGTCGATAAAACTTCCTAACACGATTATAAAATCTAAAGTGTTCCACGCATCTCCGAAATAATTACGGAAACGGAAAGCCGCTAATTTCAAAACAAATTCTAGTGCAAAAACTGCCGTAAAAAACATGTTCAAAGCATCTAAAATTTCCGTGTATAATTTTGACTGTCCGTAGTACTTCATGGCTAACGTCACCGTGTTTGCCATGATCAAAACAAAAAGTGTGTACTCGAAGGGTTGGGAAGTAACGAACCACCAAATCTTATACTGGATTCTATCTTTTGGAATATACCTTCTCACGGGTTTCGCATTGAGAGCAAACTCGATGCAATTTCTTTGATTTTTATCTAAATCGACATTTTTATACTCTTGCTCTCCTTCGTTTTGAAACGTGACAATGACAAAACCAACGAAAATATTTATCATGAAAAATGCAATGACGATTATGTAAATAATGTAGTAAGTAGCGACTATGGGTCTAAAATTGTGAATGGGACCGAAATCTTCAACGTTTGAATCGATGGAAACGTGTAAAAGACTGGGCCAACCCTCAAAAGTGGAAACGGTGAACAACGTCAGCATAGCTTTCGCCACATTGTCGAAATGAAAATTATTAGGAGACCATTCCCGTTCTTTCCTTTCGGGTTTATTAATGTCACCGTCTTTAAACACGATGTAAGACCCGTGACACTCCAATTCAGTCATTTTAGATTTATCGTTACAAGAGAAAAATTTACCCTTGAACAATTGAACTCCTATGACGGCGAACATGAATTGAAGAAGGCATGTTACCAAAACAATATTACCTATTGTTTTAACGGATACTATTACGCACTGAACGACGCGTTTTAAACCCTTTGCACGATTTATGGCTCTTAAAGGTCTCAAGACTCTGAGTACTCGAAGGATTTTAATGAAAGACACGGCGGAAGAACTTCGAAACATAGAAACTAAAGAAACACAAACAACTAGTAAATCTAAAACACTAAAAAATGACCGGCAAAAGGATCCGGGATGCAAAATAAAACCATACGCAATAACTTTAAGTAGTAATTCAATTGTGAAAACGGTTGTGAAGAAATAGTCGAAGGGTAATAAAAATTTATTTTGCTCAGATTCAGCTCTGAGCGGATCTTCGGCAGCAAGCATGGCCGACGAGACAAGGATACAGACTAAAATAATATTTCCGAAAATACTATGATTGCAAAACCAGTGGCAAAACACTCTGAACCGATTTTTCGGTCCGAAAATAAAAAACGACGATGTATTAGGAATGGGTTCAATTTTGTTTATATCGTTCGGCTCCGACAGGCGTCTTCTTCGAGGTCTAGCTCTTGGTTTTTCATCTCCTTTTTCGGCTTCCTCCTCCTCTTCTTCATCCTCTTCCTCTTCATCATCTTCGTCCTCGTCTTCCTCTTGATACTCATCATCGTAACCATCGCCGTTCATTTTCTTTTGACGATCTTCATCGGACACGGAAGAACGTTCTTTTTGACTTCCATCATCATCGTAACCGTCAACGTTTTCCCTTTCCTCATCGGTTTCGCATCCGGTTCCAACATCACCTTCCATATCCAAACGAACCTCGTCTCTCGGAGACATGCTTTTCCGATTTTCGCGGTCCTCTTCCTCCGGGACTTCTTCTGCGTCTTTTTCAACGTCGCCCAAGGAATCTGCATCGGCCAGGTTATCGACAGCGATAGCCAAGAAAACGTTTAACAAAATATAATTACCGCAAATGAAAAGAATAATGAAATAGATGCTGGCGACAATGCCAATCGATGACACGCCACCGTAAGCTCGAATGCCGTCATACATAACTGTATTCCAATCTTCGCCGGTGAGTATTTGAAATACGGTTAGCAAGCTTTGCCAGAACGAATCGAAATTATGACGTGGTTTTGGCTCCGTGCTGTCAAAATCAAATTTACCGCCAAAAACTTGCATTCCGAGCAACGCGAAAATAACAATGAATAAAAATAATAAAAGTAACAATGATGCGATGGCTTGAATGGAATTTAAAAGAGAAGCCACCAAATTGGACAAAGATCTCCAATATTTTGTGACTTTAAAAACTCGCAGCAATCGAATACACCGCAAAACGGAAACACCTAACGGAGGCATCACATCGAATTTGGTCAGCAATATTTCGCCTATGCTACCGATTACGACGAAGCAATCGAATCGATTAAACAAAGAAACGAAATAACTTTGAAATCCTAAACTGTACATTTTAATTAACATTTCGCATGTGAAAAGAGCAACAAAAACAAAATTTGTTATTTCTTGGAAAGAATCTAACCATTCGGGTTGACGGTAGTGTTCCGTCGCCAAAACCACGGTATTGAGGAAGACAAGAACAATAATTAACCAATAGAACATTTGAGATTTAACAGCTTTTCGGCAACTTCTGCGCAATCTCCTATTAATACGATCCCAATCTTTTTTCTTTTTGCTCCAAAAACTTTCCTGTTGGACTTCGCATTCTTCTCCCTCCAACAGATCCGTATTCACAAGTTTTGTTTTATCTTGATTAACTTCTCCTTCAGGCTCAATATCTTCCGCTTGAGTGATCCAATCAAGATAACCTCGCAAATCCTCTTCTATTTGCTGTTTTTCTCTCAACTTTTTAAAATCTCCTCTCGATTTGGCTTTTTCTCTCTCTTTTGAAAACTCTCCGGAGAGAACACCGAGAATTAAATTCATAACGAAAAAAGCACCGAGAATAACGAGCGAAACAAAATATATCCACTGCCAAGTATTTCCGGATGCATCTTGAATCCAATACATGACGTCGGTCCAACCCTCGAGAGTAATGCATTGGAAAACGGTCAACATGGCCAAACCGAAATTATCAAAATTTGTGATTCCGAAATTCGGTCCTTCCCAACCGGAAAAGCATTTCATTTGTTGCGTGTCCGTGTCTAAAACCGAACAATTAAATCCGGACGTGCCTTTGAGAGCGCACGGATGCGGGTCGTCCATGCGTTCTCGCGTTTTAACGTCGTAACACGTCGTGTGCAATTTACCGGAAAACAACTCCAATCCGACGATGGCGTATATTATAATAACGAATAATACCAATATTGCAATATGTAGCAAAGGCACCATGGCTAAAAGAATTGAATTTAAAACGACTTGCAAGCTCGGAACTCCGGATACCAAACGCAAAGGACGGAGAACTCGAAAAGCTCTCAGCGCCTTGACGTCGAAACCTTCTTTGGTCACGTTCGACAAAGCCGTACTTATCAAACCGATGACGACGATCGTGAAATCCAGCAAGTTCCAACCGTTTCGAAGGTATGCACCCTGATGCGCGACGAAACCCTGAGCTATTATTTTTCCGAAACATTCTATTGTAAATATGACTAAAAAGACGATTTCTACTTGTTCCAAATTTAAATTAGTACTGTTTGAATCTCCGTTCGGATACGGGGTGTATATGGCAAGAGCGACGCAATTCGCCATGATCGTAAGCAATATCATGTACTCGAAGGGTTTCCATTCGACTACGGCTATGCACAATCTCCTTATCGGATTTTTAAGCGTCAAACAAAGGAGCGAACGTTTCGGACGCTCCGGGACGGGTTTCCCTGTTCTCCGTGGAGGTTTTTTCGGCGGTTCTGGTGGCGGCCGATCATATGCTGAACGTCCAATGGTTGCCGGAGTCGCGGGGGTTTCCGCTGCGGTCGCATTAACGCTCATCACGATTTTATTTATTCACTTCAATACTATCTATAATAGTTAATTATTTTTTTGTTTGTTGGTCCTAAATTTGTTCCCTCGTTTTTCATTTTTTTATTTTTTACACTTTTTTTTATTTTTTTATTTTTTCTTATTCGATTCAGAGGGACGATTCACGCGGTCCAAAATTCGTTTTGGACGTCACGATTCGCGCTTTGATTTTTTCCATCATCTAAATGATTGAAATATTTTAAAATATTATAATAATTTGATAATATAAAATATAGCGAAGCGTCATGCACTGATAAAAAAAAAAAAAAAAACAAGCAGAAGACAAAAAAAAAAAAACCGAAAAATCGCCACTAAAAGATGTGACGAATTTAAATAATGATAAATCATTTTCTCTTGACAGACATCGCGCGTTCGTTTGCGTGACGTTGTTAAAACCGAAACTCTTCTCCTTCTTTTTCTTCGCCATCTTAGACTTTTCTAACGGGGGGGAAGGGGTAGAAGAGGGGAGGGGGAAAAACACATTATTTTAACAAAAGATTTCGTTTCGCCATAATAATAACTAAACTTACGTATAAAATTTATTCCGACTTATTGGGATTTGTTTTTCATTAAAAAAATTAATTTTCATGAGCAATTTAACTTCATTAAAGCAATAATAATAATAATGACAACGATAATAATGATAATGATGATAATGATAATGATGATAATGATAATGATTTTTTTTACGACCACCGAATAGCTCAAAGAATAATACCGAGAGGAGGGTAGTAAAAAAAAAACTTTTCTTTTTTTTTTATTATTTTTTAATGAACCTTGATTAATGACGTCATCAAGGAAAAGCGTATCAATTCTTATATAACTTAATAAGTATTTAAGATAAGTACTCGTAATTTTTTTTTTCCTTTTTTTCCCTTTTTTTTCTCTCTTTCTCGAAGTACATAAAAAAAAAAAAATTAAATTACGTTAAAACTCGGTTTAAACAAAAAAAATAAAAAAGAAAAAAAGAAAGAAAAAAGGAAAATTAGAAACAAACGCGAATGGGAAATACAAAAGAAAAAAGAAGAAAAAAGGAAATTTCCTTTTTTTTTTCTTTTTCCTTTTTCCTTTTTCTTCCGCCACGTCGACTTTTCGCGTTAGAAGCACAACAATTTTAAAAATTGAAAGAATCAAAACGGAAAGAGAGAAACAGAGAGAGAGAGAGGGAAAATTATTTTTTACTTCTCTCCTTTCATTCGTAACGTTTTATTTATTTATTTATTTTTAAAACGCGTTACAACAGAATCAGACAAAAGATTTTAAAAATCTTTTTTTTTTCTGTTTTTTTTTTTTTTTTAATTTCTACACAACAACCCGTGATCGCGAAGCGACCATAGTCGGACGCCGACACTCTCTCTCATATACGCGTAAGAAAGAAAGAGAGAGAGAGATGGGGGGGGGGAGAGAGAGAGAGAAAGAAAAAAAAACAATTTTTAGAAATCCAAGGGCGCCCGGGGTTTTTGGGGCCAAGTTCTCAAATTTTAATTTTTTTTTTTTTTTTTTCGTTTCATCATCCTAAATTTGTTTTTTTTTTTTTTTTTTTTTTTTTTTTTCATTTTATCTATCTTTCTTTCTCTTTCTTTCACACACACACACTCCCCTCGATATCTTTGTCTTTCAAAAAAAAAAAAAAACCGAACGCGAGCAAATTCGAACGCTTTGAACCGCGCTTTTAATTTTACGGTTTTCAAAGGTTAAATTTTTTTTTTTTTTTTTTTTTTTTTTAAATTTCATCGAGAAAGTGTGCGAACCGTTTCGAAAAAAATTTTTTTCACAATTCGAATTTTCTTTCTTTCCCTCCCCCACCTCTTCCCAACCACCCTTTTTCCCCTCTCGAAAAACATTAAAATTCTTATAATGATGATGATGATGATAATGATAAAATTCGAAAACAGGTGATTCAAATTTTTAAAAAAAAGTGAGAGAGAGAGAGAGAGAATCGCTGTCGTTGTCGTTGTCGTTTTTTTTCTGCTTCCCCGATTCGATGATGACGTTTTTGTTTTTTTTTTTTTTTTTTCATGTCGGTTTTTTTTTTTCGGGTAAACGTCCACGAATAGAAAAACTAAAATAAATAAAATAATAATGATAATAATATTTAATAAAAATAATTTCTCCCCCTCCCCCCCTTTGTCCCCTCGAATTAATGACTTGGCATGTTTTTTTTCATGTTTTCTGTTTTTTTATTTTTATTTTTTTTTTATAAATTTTTAAAAAAAAAAAAAAGAAAAAAGTCCATGGACCCTCTCAGCAGGTGCCTGGCGCTTGTATATATATAAAAAATTTTTTTTTTTTTTTCCCCGGCTAAACGTTTTTTTTTTTTTTTTTTTTTTTTTTTTTTTGGGGGGAACCAATTTAAATTTTTTTTAATATCGAAAAGGGAAGACAAAAAAAAAAAAAAAAAAAAAAAAAAAAAAGTTACGACGACGAAGCAATCAAGCACTTTGTAAATATTTTTTTTTCCTTCTTCTTCTTCTTCTTCTCTTCCTTTTTATTTTATTTATTTATTTTTAAATCAACCCTAAAAGCTTGTTGGTAGAAAGAGAGAAAGAAAGAGAGAGAGAAAAGGAAAAGGAAAAGGAAAAGAAAAAGAAAAACTCGAGCATTATTTGTTTAAGTAAAGTGAAAAAACTCGGGAATGCAATTTTCTCCCTTTTTTTCTCTCTCCCCTCTTTCTCTCTTTCTCTTTTTACTTTTCACGTAAAAACTCGCGTTTCGAGTGGAATGAGAAAAAGATTTTAAAAATCAATTTTTTCCCGCGTTTTTTTTTTTTTTTTTTTTTTTTCGAAATGAGAAGTTAGTTGAAAGTTTTTCGCTTAGTTAAAATATTTCCGGAAATTCCGACCGCTGTCGTTCTCGTCATCGTCATCGTCGTCAACGTCACCATTGCTTTACATCACGTCCGTCCGCCTTCCTCTCCTCTTCCCCACCCCCACCACCCCCGTTTTATTTTATTTTTTTGAAAAAGCAAAATTAAATTCATCAAAATCAGGGAAAAAAAATGATTCCGTGCTTTTGCTTTCAATGAAAAGAAAAATAAAAAAATTCAAAAATAAATTAAAGATTTTTTTTTGTAAAGTTGAGAGTTTTTACCTGTCGGACGCATGCAATAATAATAATAATAACAACAAATTCTCACACCTCAATGCCCCCTCTCTCTCTCTCTCTCTCGCTGTCTCTCCCATCTTCCCTGCCTCTCTCATTTAACCACCTTTTTTGCCATTTCCCTCTACTCCCGGCAAAATTTATTATTTCACGAAAAATCCTAATTTCCCAAGTTTTTGTTTTTTGTTTTTTTTGTTTTTAAAACGAGAGAGAAAAATTGTACGAAATGACAAACGGCGCTCCCGAACGCAATCATATTTTATTCCCGTTCGCACTCTCACGTTCTAATTTATTTTTTAAAAAGAAAAACTCATTAAAGTTAAAAAACAATAGAAACGACGAAACGACGGGAAAATTTAGTATTCTTATATCGACTTTATAAATATTTCTTTATAAAATTCAGGATTCTTCGGAAATTTATTGATACCCTTGATCGCACACACGCACATACACACATGCACGCACTCACATATACGCAAACACACGCACACACGCACCCGCGAACACCGAATTCGAATTTTGATAAATAACTTTTAGCGAAACACGGAGTTTTTTTTCCTTTTTCTTCCTCCTCCTCCTCCTGTTCCTCCCACAACCTCCTCCCTCTTCTAAACTCTTTCTCTCTATCTCTCTCATTCGCGAAAGAAAAATTTTCAAATTTTTTCTTTTAAAAATTAATTTTTTTGAAAAAAAATGATGACAATCTCAACGTCGCATTTTCCGCCATCACTCTAAATTTTCTCTTCTCTTCTGCTTCCACTTTTTTTTTTTTTTTGTTTTTTTTTTTCATCCTTTCCCTTTACTTTCTTCCATTCCCATTCTTTACTTTTCTCCGGGTAAATATTAACCCTCGTCGATGACGAGAGAAAAAAAAAGAAAATTTCGTTTGCTCCTTTTGTTCGTCTTTTAAATCTTTCGAATTTTCATCTTCTTTTTTCTCTTCTCTTTCTTTTTCTTTTTCTTCTGCTTCTTCTTAAGCTCTTTCGCAATAAGCACACTTCAAACGGTCCGTTCGTCCGTCTGTAATGCCCGTAATGAAAAGACTAAAACGTTTAAAAAAGGGAAACAAAACAAAATCCTAACACGTTCTGTCCATCCACCTTTGTGTGTTTGAATACATAAAAGAGATTTGAAACCTTATTTAGAAGAAAAAAAATGGGGGGCAGGGGAAAAGGGGGGGAAAAGGAAAAGCATCAATCATCGGGGAAAAAAATTACTTTAAAAAAAAAAAAACTCAAATGAATCAATTCGATAATAAATAATAATAATGATAAAAACATTTTCCGACTTTATGAGAGAGTTGTTTGATTTTTTTATTTACTTTTGAAAAAAAAAATAACTGAATAAATAAATAAATAAATAAATGATGATGATGATGATAACGAAGTAAAAAAAAGAAAACAAGAGGAGTCTGGAGAAAAATAAAAAAATCAAAAAAAAATAAAAATAAATAAAAATTGTTAAGCTTTACAAATATTTAAGAGCTCTTGAAACTTACCCCCCTTTGCTCCCCTTTGCCCCCTCAAAAAAAGTTAAAATTTTCTTTTAAATTTCGCGTAGCAAAAAGAAAAAATTTTTTTTTTATTTTTTGCTACGAGAAAGCAATAAAATCTCGAACCGTTATCAATTCATTTATACTTTAAAAACATTTATTTTTACTTTCGCTCAAATAACAAAAATAAATTTTTTTTATCCCATGTTATTATCCGTAGCAAAAATTAATTTTTCCGTTAATTTTTTTGCGTTATTAGTTTGCTCAGAGGAAAAAAGAAAAAAAACGGGGAAAGGGAGAGGCGAGAAGGGAAGAGAGAAAGAGAGAGAGAGAGGGAGACAGAACTTTATTATTTATTCGCGTTCTATTTTTCTTT